ACCCTACCCCACCCCACCCTACCCCACCATCATCGACTCACCCCACCCATGATCATCAACTCATCGTTACGACGTCGCTTATCGGTTCCACCATAAAACCCATCAAAACACCATGCTCTTCCCTTTTTCACTAGTTTTCTTCATTAAAGAGAAAAAAAAAAAAAAAAAAAACAACACAAAAGTAGAAAATACAGAGAGAATCTATGAAATAAAAAAAAAAAAAACAACTGGAAAATCAATTTTTAAAACCAACATATGCAAGTATATATGCAAACCCACAAATCGTCATGTAAATTTATGTTGAAATTAGATGAAAACACCAAGTAAAATTGAAAAGGAAACTCATTGGACCAATTGATTAAATAGTGTGGTATAGATAGAAATGATGTGCAGAGGGTGGGTTGGATTAGAAATGGAATGGAGCAAATTCTGCCATCCTTTTGATCTCTATCTTCTCTCACTCACACGCACTCGCTCGTGTATTGGAAGGAGGAAGAGAATAGTTTACATTTTATAGTTTACAGTATGGTTTGGATGGGGTGCGGGGGTGAAGAAGGAGATGAATAGTATTTTTTTAATTTATTTTAATTGTTTTATTATAGGGTTAAGTAACTTTTACATTTTTACCCTTTTCAATTAGTCAAAAATTGGTCAATGTTTGATTTTATTGGTCAACTAACGGCCAAACGGACGGTTTCCATCCATTTGGATTTCGAGTGCGGATTTTTGAAAGGTTTGGTACTTTCAGTGGCATAAACTAAAAATTTGAGTAAAGTCTGTTAATAAATGAAATGTTTGATATCTATAATTTTCCCAAAAATATATATATTCAACGAGGTTACTATTGATGCTGACAAAACAATCACCGGACAAGCGCACTCAAACACGCACCGTCTAAAACACGTTTTGAAATCAAAATCTCCACAACTCTATAATAGATAGCATTTCCAATCAACTCGTGGACCAAAGTTACTATAAAGAAAGAGAGAAGGAAATATACAGTCAAATGAAACGTGCACACAAATCTGAACTAGCAAACGTGACACTACTGGTGTTGGTCCTTTTTTTTTTTTTTTTTTTTTTTTAAGGGGTCCGAGCGGGAGTTTGTTCACACCAATGACTTCCTCTTCATATGACTCCCAGTGTTAACTCCAGGAATCGAACTCTCCACCCTTGCTTCCAGCGTCCCAACGAAGTGATTATTCCACCAACTCGGATGTGCCAGGGGGGGCCTACTGGTGTTGGTCTTAATTATAGGCGAGGTAGGCAATTACCTAAAGCTCCATTTTAGTGAGGGTCCCAAATTTTATTTATTTATTTTTTTTATATGTATTTTTATGTATATATAGGGTTTCATATCTGAAATTGGTCTAAGACCCCCAAAATTTCAGGGCCAGCCTTAAACGCTACTATTTCCACAAACTGCAACATTACTCTTTCATGCTCATTGTTGTCCTCTCATACGAGTCTGGATCGCGTCTTATAATATATTTTTAACACGTACAACTCATAAAATTCACAATTTATAAGTATTTAATAGCACTACTAAATAAGTACTTAGTCTTAGTTTAGCCTATCATCCTCTCGAACCAGCTAAGTGAGTGAAAGAAAAATGGGGAAACAGAAAGTGAGTGAGAAAGAGAGTACCAAAATAAAGGAGGATGAGGAGAATCTTACATACACAATAACAGGGACCAAATGCTGTGTGCTGTGGACCATCATTTTCACTTTTAATTCATCCCCCACTACCTCAAAATCACTCTGTTCCTATCTCACACACGCAAACACTGTCAAATGTAGGATTAAGCTATTTGTACATTAAAAATGTAAAATTTTCCTAACAATGTGTGAGATGTCAAAATCGAGATCACTAATTGTTTTAAATGTTGTTAAAATCAACGACAAAACGTGGATCATGACGCACAATGTAGAGAAAACTATCACCTTAGTAAAACTGATCTAATGTAATACCATCTTAATCTGGATTCTTAACATCAACGAAATCCAAGATAGCACAAGTACCAGGACGATTCCACCAAAGTTACATCCTCTCTCTCTCTCTCTCTCTCATACACATGTTTTAGGGTTTCAGTGGCATCATTGATGGTGAGAATGCAAAGGTACTGAGGCAATAATGGGACAGTGGACCTTTTTGCAGGCTGTGGAAGATAACCCAAATGAGCTTGTCGGTTTTTTTATAGTGTAAGTCTATTATCACTGCACTATATATCACTGCCACTCGTCTCTAAAGTGTGCATACAGTCACCAAACCAACCCATTTGGTTTATGCCTTAGAATGTTAAACTGATGGCTGTTAGGAGACAAACTTCTCCTTAATTTCTTTCGCACTTTCTCATCGTCTTAGAAGCTTCGGTGTAACCTAATTTTCTCTTTTTTGATTAGAGTTAAGACTATTTTCCTCTAGTTTCCAGATAAGGGTCTAGTCCTGTGTGTTTAATTTTTGTTCTCAAGATTGTATGATTATTGTTTTACCTTCAAAATTTCTTGACTTCAAGCCTTTTGGGTCAGTTTTGATAGAGTTTAAAGAAATGGGGTGGTCCAGGCATCCAAAAAATGTTCAAGTAGAAAGAAATGGAAGACCAAATTTAGGATTACTGGGTGGACTAACAGAATTTGATGATAATGGTTCCTAGAAAGGAAAGATTTTGAAGAGAATTGGTTGATTTGTGTAAATATTTTCTTATGGAACGTAGTAGTCAAGAAAGTGCTATAGGGATGCCAAATTCTGTGAGTTATAATCCACCCCAGCTGAATCAAGAATCACCAGTCAAGCTGCCTCTAGCCTCTATAATATCCTCTCCACCAGATAGGAGAGGAAATGCAAAAACACTAAATAAGCACCAGCGTCAGGATCAGGATCAGGATCAGCATCAGCTCAATTCACCACCGCCACAGCCGTCTCTTGTACAAAAAGATTCAATCTCAGATCCAGATCCAGATCCATATCCGGCCAGAGTGGCCAGTGGAACAACTGGTGGTGTTTCAAATTTAAGGATAGATCCACCTCCGCAGCCACATGATCTACCAGCAACATCTTCCAACCCTACTGATACTATTAGATATAACGAATGCCTAAAGAATCATGCTGCAAGTGTAGGAGGTCATGTTTTAGATGGATGTGGAGAATTCACGCCCAGTGGAGAAGAGGGCACCCCAGAAGCCTTAAGATGTGCTGCTTGTGATTGCCACCGGAGTTTCCATCGAAGAGAGGCCGACGGAGAGTCACAAACTGGCACGTCTCACTACTACACATACAATCCCAACTCCAGCAATAACAATATCCATAGGAACCCGTTATTTCCAAGGCAGAATCAGCATTTTACCGCCACCCCTCCAAGTGGCCGTACGCCGCCTACAGTGGTGGCGTTCGGCAGAAACAGCGGTGGTGGAGCTGGTGCGGAGTCAGCTAGTGAAGATCTCAACATGTTTCGCTCCAACGCTAGAGGGCATGAAGTTGTGCAGCCATCATTTTCAAGGTCCAAGAAGAGATTTCGGACGAAATTTAGTCAAGAACAGAAAGATAAGATGCATGAATTTGCTACAAGGCTGGGATGGAAAATTCAGAAAGAAGATGAACAAGAATTGCAGCAGTTCTGCAATGAAATGGGAGTGAAGAGACGGGTTTTCAAGGTGTGGATGCACAACAACAAACAAGCCATGAAGAAGAGACAAATGTACTATGTAAGTCCAGAAACGAACCCCATTTGAATTAGGGTATAGATTATTAACCTTTTTACATAGCTACACATCATTGATGCAGATTAAGAAAATTATTATAGAAGGCTAATCACCTTGGTCATTTCAATTTTCCAGTCCTGCAAGTCATGATCTAATTAATTACCTGATATGTAATGGTCTTAATTCTGCTCTTGTAAAAATAAAACTTTTATATATTGGAAGAAATGCACTAAAATGAAGAAAGAAAATATTCATAAAATTTATATATTTCAAGTACTATATACTTTGGTTATTTTTGGTACATGGTATAATGTTCCTTGCTAAACTGGCTCGTTTACTGAAAAGTAAAACACATGAATCCCTAGATGAAAAGAAGAGATTTGTTACTAATGCTACTAAATCTTCTTCAAAACAATTTAAAGAAAAACAAGCACTTAAGTTCATAGAATAGGTGTAATTAATCCTATATTCTTGAGTTTTTGAAGTTTAATTTTGTACCCTCTTTGCTGCTAAAGTTACATGTAATTGTTCTCTATACAAACATTTCGATTTTTCACCCCATTTTATATGATTGCAAGACTATTTCCTAATACTAAACAAAATAAATTTGTGCTGCTTTATTCATTTTTCCAATTCATATTATGTTATTCACTTCAAATAATGTTATTGAGATAGTATTCACATTTACATAAGTGAAGACTGTTCTACACATTTACTTATAAATCTGATGTTGACAGTAAAATGGATTAATTCCCAGTAATTAATTACAATTGGGAGTTGAGACATTCAAAATGCTGAATCGACGTTGACTATAGTCTATAACCCCTAACCTTCCAAGCTAACGATGCGAATTTCTGCTACCTGCTTATATCTTTTCTCTAAATATTCGATTCGAATTCAGCACTAATTAATGTTCATATACATTAAGATTCACTTGAGGAAAAGGTTTGGTTAAGAGGATTATACGACTATGTGGTGCAATTCCAAGTACTTGAATGTTTGTGGATATTTGTCCTTGAATGCAGGTTTGGTACGTAGTACTGGATAGTATGACAAATAAGATTTTAATATCCTTTTCTCCAGTGATCAGTCTAATGCAATCGAATATATATCCTATCAACATAATTTGTCTAATGCTTTCGAATCTTTCCTATCAAAGGTGCTCTACGTGTTTAGTTGTTACTTGCAACTCAAAAAAGATAAGTTTGGAGGACAATGCAAAGTTCTTAAATGATAAGTATGTCAGCAAATGAAAGGCCTGTAACCTACTTTGCAGTAGTATGGTGCCTTTCCCTTCATTTTCTGGAGCCTCACCAGCATGATATTTCCGTTTAAATTAGACAAAGAAAATGTTGGTAACACCTCGAGCTCTTTTATTTAAAAATAATAATAAAAATGAAAAAAGGAAAATAAAATAAAATTTACAGCTGCAAAGAGAGACATTTTATTGCTCTATGGACATGGACTATATGTTTGATATGCAATACTCTGAAAAAATTTTGTGAGCGCATCGAACCTGATTTAATACTTTCAAGCAAGGATAAGAATGTAATAGCAGCATCCGTGACAGGCCTGTACTGCAAATTTTATACGTTATATTCGATAATAAAATTTAACTTCTTTCTTTATTTTTAAACTATTCCAGTGTTCCTTCCAAACATGTTTTCTTTGAATGAGAAAATTAAGCTTGCCTTATTCCTTATTAAAGTGCTTTAGAGCGAGAAATTTAAATGCTCTAGAGTGCGAGAAGACAAAGGCCTAAATAGACAGTTTACTTGACACATTGAAACCCTAATTCTTCAGTTCCATATTCCCATTACTAGCCCTTGTAAAGTCTCACAAAATTCTGGCATAACATGTACTGCACCTAAAGCTCGTCTTTTTGTATGCAGTACTGAAAACCACTGCATGTACAATGGACAAGATTTTAATGCATTTCTCTCTTTTATATGAGGAGCAAAGCTAAAGGATGCGCATTTGCACATGAAAAGATGAAGAGGAAGTTAGGCACGTGGAATAGTAGGGGTCTGAACACTCCCCTCAAACAAAATGGTGTTCGAAGTTTTATTGGGCAACACAACATTGATGTCTTGGGTATTTTGGAAACTAAGTTGGGGATGTCGACGATTGATCGGATCATGCGGAATAAGTTTGGCAACCTATTCCAAATCAATAATTTTGAAGTTCATAGAGCTGGACGTATTTTGGTGCTATGGAACTCCTTGAAATTGAACTTGGAGGTATTGGAGACTACTTCGCAAGTTATCCATTGCATCGTTACTTGCAAGATAACATCTTTAAAAAATTTTGTTAGCTTTGTCTATGGCCTCCATACAACTGTTAGTCGTAGACCATTATGGGATAATATCATGCAGTTTGGTTTGGATTGTTCATTGCCTTGGTTGATTATGGGTGATTTCAATAATGTATTGCATTTTGTGAAAAAATTAATGGTGCTGATGTTACCACATATGAGATAAAAGATTTTGTTAATTGTTGTCTTAATGTTGGTCTAATGGACTTGAGATCTATTGGTTGTTTTTACACTTGGAACAACAATTCTGTTTGGACTAAACTGGATAGAGCAATGGTAAATGATTTTTGGATGCATATGGGTTTTTCTAGTAGTGCGGAATTCTTACCATCAGGATGCCTATCTGATCACTCACCTTGTATTGTTTCTATTTTTACATGTGATGAGGTCAAGAAGAAACCGTTCAAATTCTTCAATATGTGGACTAAGCACAAGAAGTTCCATGAGACCGTGCTAAGCACTTGGAATCTATATATTCGGGGCACTAAGCAATTCTCTCTTTGCAAGAAGTTGCAACGTCTCAAAGGAGTGCTTAAAGAGTTAAATGTTAAACACTTTGGTCATATTTCATCAAGGGCCGAGGTAGCAAAAAAGGCCTTGGTGGAATCCCAGCTTGTCCTGCATGATGATCCCACCAATTTACATCTACAAAATGAGGTTGCTCGATTGAGGAAAGAGGCCATAAATCTTAGTGAAGCAGAAAGAAGTTTCTACTTCCAACAAGCGAAGTGTGCATATTTGAAGAATAGTGATAAATGCACAAAGTTTTTCCACTCGATTGTGAAGAGAAACAATAAAAGGAACTTTATTGCAGTTGTACTTAAAAGGGATGGTTCTTATACCTCTTCGCAAAAACAGGTGGCTGATGAGTTTGTTCATCTCTACAGTGAATTGTTTGGACGGGACAGTAATGGACTGGTTTTTTTGGCTGAAAATCTTCAGTTTGGCCTACTTTAGATGAGGAGCTCGCCACTTCACTTACTAGGGATGTTTCTGAACAAGAAATTAAGGATGCCCTTTTTAGCATTGGAGATGATAAATCGCCCGGACCGGATGGTTATACATCTTGTTTCTTCAAGGAGGCATGGGATATTGTTGGTAATGATTTTATGGAAGCAATTTATGAATTTTTTGCTTCTAGGTCTCTCCTTAAGCAAACGAACCATACCATTATTGCTTTGATTCCTAAGACTAACCATGCTACTTCGGTGAATGACTATCGGCCGATCGCTTGTTGTAATGTTTTCTACAAAGTGATCACTAAGATACTGGCTTCTCGATTGGGGCCAACACTTGGGTCCATCATTGATCAAGCCCAAGCTGCCTTTATAGAAGGTAGAAGCATGGTAGAGAATATTCATCTTGTTCAAGAGCTTGTGAGGAAATATAATTGAAAGAGGGTATCACCAAGATGCCTACTCAAAGTTGATTTGAAGAAGGCGTATGACTCAGTGAATTGGGATTTTCTTAAGAATGTTCTTGAGGGTTTGAAGTTTCCAACTAAATTCATAGATTGGGTTATGGAATGCATTACTACGCCTACATACTCTATTGCTCTTAATGGGTGCCTTCACGGGTTCATAAAAGGGAGGAAAGGTCTTCGTCAAGGTGACCCTCTTTCTCCATTTTTATTTGTTTTGTGCCTTGAGTACTTTTCTAGAATGGTGAAGAGAGCCACCAATAATACTGAGTTCAATAACCATCCTAAATGTGCTCCTCTAAAGATTACACACTTGGCCTTTGCGGATGATTTGATGCTATTTGCTAGAGGTGATACTACTTCGGTTCGGATCTTGATGAATTGCTTAGCAAATTTTGGTGACATGTCGGGACTAACGATGAATGTTGACAAGTCTAACTTGTATATGGCGGGAGTTCAAGGGCAAGAAAGGGATTATATTATTGAGATTGCAAATATCTCCCAAGGATCTTTGCCTTTTCGCTACTTGGTGGTTCCTCTTGCGGCGGGAAAGTTGAAAACCAGTTCTTATGATGTATTTATTAACAAGATCATAGCCTATATTGGGGCTTGGTCTAGGGCATCATTATCATATGCAGGAAGACTAGAGCTTGTGAGAGTCGTACTCCAAGGGGTTGAATGTTTTTGGTTATCTATTTTTCCCTTTCCGGCTATGGTTACTTTTAGAGTCATATCTCTTTGTCGCAACTTTCTTTGGGGATCAAAGAAACCATTGGTTGCATGGAGCAATATTTGCTTACCTAAGGTTGAGGGTGGACTTGGGCTCCGAGACATCAAAAGATGGAACTTAGCACTTCTTTCCAAAACACTTTGGAACATTCATTGTAAGAAAGATTCTTTGTGGATTAAATGGGTAAACCAAGTATACCTACGTGGGAGTAACATTTGGGTATATATGCTGAGAAAAGAGGACTCCCCTCTTATTAAAAAGCTGGTGGAAATCAGAGATTACATTATTGGGGTTGAAAATTCTACCCAGGCAGCTATTTATAAACTGGCCAAGTGGAGTAATGTTGGCAGATTTAGCATAGAAGATGCGTATGAGTTCTTTAGGCCAAGGGGAGTCAAAGTAAGCTGGGCTAACCTTGTTTGGAATGCATATGTCACTCCGAAGCATGCCTTTATCACATGGTTGGCAGTTAAAATGAAATTGTTAACTAGGGACAGATTGCATTTCTTAGATATTGACCCTAAATGCTGTTTATGTGCACACATGGATGAGTCTACGGAGCATTTGTTTTTCAGTTGCTCCTTTACTTGATCAGTCTGGGAAAGAATACGTGCGTGGGTGGGTCTCAGGCGAGCTATGTCAACACTTCACATCGTAATGAAATGGATAAAAAAGGAAAGTAGGGGTTCATCTTGGCATAGCAAGGCGAAGCGTATTGCACTTGTTAGTACTGTTTACCACATTTGGATGGCAAGGAATAAGATGATTTTTGAAGACCTTATTCCACATGTTGATAGTATTGTTCGACGAATCAAAACACACGTATACAACGTTTTGTTCTCTTTGTATCCGAATGTTTTGTTTCAATATGAGTCCTTAGCTGTAGGTCTCTAAGTCGTACATGAAGTGTTATTCTACCCGAGCTCGCACGGTGTAGTTGTATAATTACTTTCATATGATGGCCTGGGAATGCCCGGTGTATTTGTAATTAAGTTTTGATCAATATATTTCACATTTACCGATCAAACAAAAAAAAAAAAGATGAAGAGGAAGAAATTACTAAAATTGAAACAACCTTTTGAAACATTCAAAAAACTTTGTCGAAGACCTTTTGCAATGTTCAAACATGTTGCAAGCCTCAATATTATCGTAGAGTATAAGGATGCAACAACAATTTTTGAGTCTTGCTAATAAAGTTTTTGCAATGTTTCTTAGATATCGCTAATAATCTTTTTGCAACATTTTTTTAATGTTGTTAATGACTTTTTTGCAATGTTTCTACAATGTTGCTAATACCTTTTTTGCAACATTTTTTTTAATGTTGTCTATGCTTATATCCTTTTTTTTCGTAATATTTTTTTACTATTGCCATATGTTATTTTACTTATATTTTCATGGCAATTTTTTTTCTCTTTGTACAATAATTTCATATTGAGTAAATATATTTTTGGGATTGCCTGATATTGACAATAACTTCATTAATCCATACAAAATAAACGGAGAACACGTCATTTCAATAAGTTGAAGAAAAATCTTGACTTGCCTTAAGTAAATAAATAAACATAGAATACAAAATAATGATAGTTTTAGGGGGTGTTTGATAGGCATTTTTATGTAAAAATGTATTTTAGAATAGTAAATTGATGTGAAATGTGTGGTTGAGAAATAAGGAAAAAAATTTAATTCACGTGTAAATATTAATTTAATAAAGATTGTGTGGTTGAAAAGAAGAGAGAGAAAAATGCATTTTGATAAAAAAAAAAATTACTACCAAATGGGACCTTAATTAGGAAATCAATTTTTCTTATGCTCCGATTATAATATCATACCAACAGAAAGAGTACAATATGCAAAGGACTAACTTTTACAAGTATAGTCCTTGTAAAGGACTAATCCCATTGAGTGGGAACTTGAAGAATCATGTGCAAATCAATGTTCTAAAACGCGTAATGCGTGGTGATGCATGAAAGTTAAGCTATGGGCTACACGAGTTTAGACGAGGCTTAGGCGTAAAAAAAGTAAAATGCGTTTTCTTATTTTAATATTATTTTAATTTTTAATAAATCAAAAAATTATTTAATAATTAAAAATAATACTTACTAAACATTTTTTCAAAGTTTCCAACAAAAAGATAAGTTTCAAATTTAAACATAAAATAGAAAATAAATAATATATGAATTTAAATTTTATCTAACTCTTTATCGGACTCCAATTCAATATCCTCTTTTTCATCTAATTCCTCATTTGTGTCTTTCGATACAAGTGGTTGTTTTAAATTAGGGCAAAATGAAGAAATTAGCCATTGATAATTTTTTAACAGCACAAAATTTAGCACCTGTTTGGCCCCCATTTAGTAGAAATGAAAATTGGTGGAATAGTATTTTTTTTTAAAAATGAGTGGTTGAAAAAGAAAGAAAATTTTTCGATATATATGTAATATTATTTTATGGAAGATTGTATGATTAAAAATAGAAGAAAGAAAACGTAAAATAATGTAATAAAAATTAATGGGGGCCAAACGGCAGGCTTAAAAAATTTTTAAAAAAGGACGCGCATAATTGTGCCTAGGCGCGTCTTAGTGGTCAAAGATTGTTGTTAACCGCCAAATAAGACACTAAGCTACTTGACTTGGCATTTTGGCCGAGCATCACGCCTAGGCGCACCTTAGCGTTGCCTTTTAAAACACTGGTGCAAATACAATGCCTGACTGTATCTAACTAAAATTGCTTCAAACTTGCCAACATGTAAGCATTGTGGTTAACAGATTTGAGGGTCCAACTAATACACCCCAAGCAACCATATGAGGTGTGAACTTCCATCTTTCCAAGCCAGATTCTAGGCATAGAATTTGCAAGTTTTATTCTGTGGCGGAGAGCTTCAAGTATAAATCGAATTGATTCAACAAATGACACAATCAGAGAATTACTAAGTGCAACAGACCCAAGACTATAACGTATAAGCCGCTTCATTGATGAGAAATCTGGAAGGAAGGGATCTCAGGCTGGATTTACAAATAAAACAGATGGATTGTGAGAAAAATATGAGATGAGAATATACAAGCATGATGAATTGTTCTCAAACAAAAAATTTACAGCTTAGACAATTTTTTACTAGCATCGAGACAACAACATGACTTGACTTAAAAATAATTAATGGAACAAGGGAAAAATAAAGATTGAATTTGGGAAATGGAAGAACTAAAATACAAGTTAAACTTTATTCCATATAAATTTCAAGTTCACTTATAATTTTTGGAAATTTCATTCAATCCAGGGATATGCAGCCTGAAGGGTAAAGAATTCAGACCTGTGCAACCACCTCAAACCATGTTAATTAGAAGAATACAAGCAGTAATTAATAGACACATGGATCTAATTCGATCCCCAAATATAAGCAGACTCCGATTTACCAATGTAAATTTAAAATGCACTATATTTAAAGAAATAAAATAAAACCAACCATAACAACAGTTTGGCTAAACCAGGAGATAAGACCATAACTGTGGATGTTTCTGTCTATCTGGCTAAAGAGATAAATTTTGGCTTTAACAATGATTTAAAGCATACTCTAATAAACCTTAGCAAAAGCAAACTGATGATAACATCTATACCGTGTACCACTTTTCTGGCTGTAGGAATCCATATTCATCTTCGGGCAGTATTTTCTTTTCAGCTTTTACTATAATTCAAAATGAACAAACTTTTTATTAGTAGAATGCCGCTGTGTTACCCATTTTGCCTTTATCCCTATTGAGGAAAGTAGGGGACGGGTCACGGGAAGGCGGGAATAATTTCATTGTGTTCATTTCATGAAAAATGTAATGGAAATAAATAATTGTTCTATTTCCCTTTTCGTGGATCTTTTAGTAGAGAAATGTTACTAGAAGGAAAAGAGGATGGGAAACCAAATATTAAGAAACCAATTATGGAGTAGTTTAAGATTAACTTCACTAAAATATTAAGAAACCGAATACATGCTGGAAACATACTCATTTCTTTTACCCATAAAAAGTTCATTTTCATCATTTTCCCTTTGCATACCACTGGATTGGATAGATTCAAATTATATGGTGGAAGAGAACTTGCAAAATCCATTTCTCCTCTGTGGATAAAAGTTTTGTTTCTATGTGCATTGTTCTTGAAAACACAAATGTATTTGTGAGGATGATTCTTGCAAGAGGAAGAAAGAAAGTTATGTTGGAAAAATAATCAGTTGCAGTAACGTTCAAAACAATAAAATCCAGA